GATATCTGGCGAATGTCAACATTCTCCGGTGAATGTCAGCATTCACACAGTCGTTTCGTGTATGTACGAAATATTTGCTAAATATCATTATTTCTCACTTACATCGGCAAATGTCGACATTCAGCATGCAGTGCATGCTGAATGTCAACATTTGCCGGTGTAAGTGTGAAATAATGAATGTTGCATGGTGAATGTTGAATAAAAATATTTTTATTATGTTAAGACAAAAATGCAACTTTTTAATATGTCAAAATAGAAGAAAGCTTAAGTAACAGCACATGTAAATAAACTGTTAAACCTAAAACAAACAGTACATTCTAAAATTTATTAAAGAAAATAATACAATGATAAACTTACACATAAATTATGTGATTAACGTTATACAATCTTATTTATTGGAACAACTTAAACTGTTATGGCACTTTGAATTTCACAAGTCTCTTGCTTTTACAACTGCATTTATTCGTGAAACCCATCCTTTTGCAATGACAGCAAGTATAGCCTTGCCCTATACTTTTTGAATTAGCTGCAGCTACTTCTCTCAGCGACATTTCTTGAGAAGAAATTCTTGGAAAGTAACCTCTCTTTACAAATTACAAACTAATTACAGGCATAAAGCTGCTTGAGGGTAACATTTTTGTTTGCTAATTTATAAAAGTCGGAGGCTTCTATTCCAACAACAACTGCCAACACATTTTGGGCATCTGTACGGCCACGATCGACATCAGGGACTTGTATTCGTATGATATCACCAATTTCAGCAGAAGGAAACGGCGTAAATTTAGCAATATACTGTCGCCTCCCAGTCGACATGGCTTCTCAGGTGTTGTTTTGACCTCCACCAAAGCTTATCTGTGCTTGTCGACATACACCTGCGATTGTTCAAATGTATAATAATATAACCAAATATTCGGTCTTTCACTGACGTATATTGTATGTGTCAACATTCACCGAAGAATATCAACATTCTCTAATTTTGGTCTTTCACAGTAACATATACATACATACATACTGTACATACATATAATAAAAAGAGATTATTTTTAAATTCATAATGAACTTTTTTTAAATCCTAATTTGTTGTTGAACTTTAATGTTGTTAGTTTATTTTAATGTTGCTGATGTATCCAGCAATGTTTGAGTTTGCAGCATTTAGTTTTAGGGGATGCAAAAGCATAGAGAAGCCCAATTGCCACCAGCCCATGGGACATCACCTCCCCAGATACTGCATTGGAATGCAAGGAATGCAAATGCAATGCAGCTCCAATCAACATAAAATTGAATGCTAAACATCTGACAAGAATTAGGCCAAAGCCAAATGATAGCAAGCTCTCAGCCAAACCAATTATGTTAAACAGAAACGTGCCAGTTGTACTAAGAAAAAAACATTGAGAAGGTTCAAATATTGCATTACTTTCATTAGATGATGATTGTGTACATTGAATACCTGCTTCCATGTAATGATGTAGTGAATTTCATTATTTTAATAAATATTAGCAAAAATTAAAATATTTCTCACAAACAATGAAAAAAAGAAATTGTTAGAGCAATCTATAACAAGACAATTTAAAGTGATATATTTCAAGAGTTAATAATTACACAGTATTTCAAAGAAACATGAAAAGTAGTCAGAAAATAATATTAATAAGACTTTTTAAATACTTTCAAAATATTCACTCATCATTAGGTTTTATGTCTGAAGTGATAAACTAAATGACTGATATTTAGANAAAATATTGTCCTAAGATTGATAAGTCCTCTGTCAGGATCTTTTCAGTAATTGCAAGGTCTTTATGTCTCGTGGCAATCACCCAATCGTCTGCATATCCAAATTTCCTTGCCTTTGTTTGAGGCAAGTCTAATGTAAAGACTAAAAAGCAGTGGTGCCAGGACAGAACCCCGAGGTAGGCCATTATTTAGTTTTCTTAACCTACTTCTCGGATTTCTGATGACAACTTGAAAGGGTCGGTTATTTAACATCGCATCAATTATTTTAACTATTTTTAAGCAGGGTATCACTCGAATCAGCTTATAGATTAGGCCATGCCGCCAGACAGTATCATATGCTGCAGTAAGATCGATGTATACCGCAGATGTTTTTAATTGCCTTTGGTATCCAGCCTCTACAAAAGTAGTGAAGGCTAGTACCTGGTCTGTACAGCTCCTATTCGGTCGAAAACCAGCCTCCTCTACCAGAATATTCTCAAAAATTGTATTGCTCAGTCTGTTGTAAAGAAGTCTCTCTAAAAGCTTATACATCACACTCAGGAGTGAGATAGGTTGATAGCTCTCTGGTCTATCATTAGGTTTTCCAGTTTTCAGGATAGCTATATTTTAGCTTGTTTCATAGCGAAAGGAATATTACCTTTCTGTAGGATGTCAGTAAAGAAGTGAGCCAGCCATGCTTAGTGTACTTGCCACTGTGTAACAGGAATTCAGGATAGACACCATCATTTCCAGAGGCTTTACCAGCTTTTATTTGTTTAAGGGCAGCATAGATTTCTTCAGTATCAAAGGGTAGTGAGTACGCTGTATCATTTATACATTTAGCTTTGATGGACATAAGCTCTTTTTTTAATCTTAATTGTGAATTCACGATCTCTAGGATTCCATGGCACTAATTTTCCATGAGAGAAATTTCTAATAAAAGTGTTTGCTGTATTCATCACCAACATTACTGAAGATCTCAGAGAAGTCTAAATGGACATCTATAGAATTTGTTTTTATGGACATATTACAAACCTTTGTTTTACATTACTTCAAATCATGCACTATTGTACAGTAATTTCTTTGTAATACCTTTAAAATATTGCCAAGCATGAGTTGATCATTGATCAGTTAATCTTAAAATTAATCATTATTTATTGACTCCCTTAGTTCAGGGACTACAAATATGTCTTTTGATTTTAGCATCATTCAAAAATAAAAATAAAAAACCCCACACGCAAAAACAACCTCAGCAGAAAATCACTGCCTTATACACATGATCATGTACAATTTTTTTATTGTCACATAATTACATGCAGAAGTACGTGATTTTCTGCTCTGATGTCATTTTTAGTGACCTGATGACATCACGAAGAATTCTCATGATTGCTGCAAGAGATAGTCATGATGTCATAGATGTTTGTCAGCTAGGCATGATGTAATGACAACCATGAACACCTGCTCTATAACATAACCTCAGGTGCTATAACCTTCAAATATTTAAATGTTTCATGGCTTAATTTCTTGCACAAAAACTACAGAAAAATAATTTTCTGGTCCTGAAAAACACCTCAGCCTTCCTGTTATTTAATTCCAGCTGAACTTGTTTCACATTAATCCATGCTATTTAAAAGTCTGAAGAACTCTCTATGGGACAGTTCTGTAAACAAAACAATGTACACTATTGAAACTTGGCATGTGCAGAAAAGAATATTAAAAGATTTTTCAGAATTGTCAAATTCAAGGAATGGCAATTATGTGCATCAAAATTACACATGGAAAATCAATAGAAAATTGCTCCTTATGCATGTGATCCTGTAAAAATAAAAAAAACTAAATGTGATCATGGGTTAATGTGGTTCCATTTTGATATGTTGTATGTGATAAAAATTTTCACCAAATCAAGTTTATCATACCAACTCTTACAATCAAACAGCTAGCAATCAGTACTACAAATTTGTCATAATTATTAATAAACAGCAATTCTTTGTGTTACACTATTATAAAATGCACAGTTAAATATTTTGAAACACCAAAACTTATAACACAAAATCTAAAACATTACAGAAATTCTTATTATATTTTTGGATTCAGTGTAAAAATATGCATAAAATACTCAAAATGTTAAATGTAAAGTTACTAGTTTTATTTTTAGATCATTTTATTCATTATTGAATTCTTTAAAACTAAAAAAATAATTTCAAATAATAAATAGCACATATAACAATAATTAAAATAATTCAAAATTTTATAGAATACTTTTATTATAAAATATTCTATTATAAAATTTTCAGTTTATTTTTATAGAATAAAGTCTCTCTCTATTTGGATCATATTCTAAACATAAACAAAAAATTTATTTTTTGTTTATGTTTAGAATATGTTTTGTTTCTAAAGAATCCCCTCAGATATATTTAAGTACTTGGATACAACCAGTGTATTTTATCTTTTCTTCACTGGAAGTTTGCAATTGGGTTGTTAAACTTTGGAGAAAAAGTTTATTATATTTGCATCTTTATTCTAGAATGTGTTCCAAGTTTATATTTTTCAACAAACTCATCTTCAGTATTTATATTATTCTCTTAAAAAGATGAAGATGAATTTGTTGAAAAATGTAAACTTGAAATGCATTTTTAAAATAAAAATGCAATTAATCTATTTTTTCTCAAAAGTTAATAGTTAATGTAAAAAATTTCAACAGAAAAAAGTTTCATAATATTTTAAATAAATAAAATTAAATTTGATATATACAAAAGCAACAAATACATATTAAATCAGTTTAATTTTATAAATTATTAAAAGTTTATAATTTTACTAAACAAAATATTTACCAGCATAACAAGCCCAATGTAGAGGTGTACAACCAGAATTATCAACTAGATCATGTGATGAACAGACATGTAGGAGAATATCTAAAACAAGATTATTACCTGATGCAGCCGCTAAATGCAAAGGTGTTTTACCATTAATATCTTTATGAGTAGCGGATGCACCATTTTTTAACAACATATCAGCACAATCTTCATTTCCAACAACTGCCTATAAATATATTTATTAAATTAATATAACATTAAAACCATATAAAAAACAGAAAATAGATTTTACTATAATATGGCAACAGATATAATAATGAACTATTATTTATTTGTTGCCATATTTTATGTGCTTCACTAAAAATATATTAGTTATTAAATTACCAAGAGATTATATATAAAATTATAATATAATGCCATCTTTTAATTAGTAGTTTGGGTTCATGTTAAAATACTGTCAATGTTGGATAAAAATATTTACAATATTATAACAGATCAAAACTAAAAAACAGAATAACGGATCTAGTATGAAACTATTTAAAAAAAGCATTCTGAACCAAACACTCAAATAGTAGTAACATGTTATGTTGCTAAAAATTAGGTTTTCCCTTCTGGTAGTTTCAAGTACAATTGAAATAATATTTAAATGTCAACTCTAGCATCTGAATGTAAGAGTGCATCATTAAGAAAATATTTTAAACTTTATCTGAATACATAATTGAAATTATTTATAAATTGTAAAATTTATATATTTATTTATTAAATTTTCAATTTTTAGAATTTACTACTTTTACTAAAGATATATCTATCTCATTTCTTCTCCTTAAAACATTACTTTAAATAATATATTATAGAAATTTTAATATGTCATTAGTTTTATTAATTTATAAAAAGTTTATTAAATAAATTTTAGTTAAACTATACTCACAGCTCGGAAAAGAGCTGATCGCTTATTCGAATCGACTGCCGTTACAGAAGCACCATGTTGTAATAACAATGAAACACACCCCAGCTGATTATGCAATAAAGCTTGCATTAGAGGAGTTCTATATAAATATTAATAAAATTAAACAATTAAATAACTATTCTAATAAAACACATTGATGATAAAACATTAAAAAATATAAAGGCAAAAAAAATACTGACAATAGAAATAACAATAGCAACATTCATAGTATTTTATTATGCTGTTAATATTTAAATTAATAGTGATAACCAGCAATTTAAAATTATAAAAGCATTTTATTAAAAAATTGTTTTAAGTATTATTTTTTCAAAAAAATATAATTTCTAAATTAAAAACATGATCTTAAAACAGAATCCAGTTTCACAATAAAACTAAAAAGTCATCTTTCATTTTAAAATTTTTGTCATTTCATCATCCCTATTCACTGGATAAAATTTCAATTGTTCTATATCATATTTTATTCTTTCATGCTTAAATTTAATTAATAAAAAATTTTATACTACTAATACAGTATACTCTTTCAGTCTTTGTATATGATTAATTTATAATTAAACAGAATTATTTTTGTAAAATTTACATTTTTCTATTATATCATTGGATAAAGGTAAAGTTAAAGAGATTTAACTCAAAATTTTAAGTTCATCAAATTATGTGCAAAGTCTCCTATTTTAACTGACTAACTTGTAATAGATTTGTATGTTACAGATTTCTATAAGTTTTTTATTTCATGAACACTAGAATGATTAAGCCCAAACCAAGTTTTTCAAACCTGTCAACATTAGGATAAAGAAATCATATGATAATAATAAAAAGTAAGAAAAGTAATAATTTCAGACTTTACTTAAAAGAAAGCCTATGTATTATTATTATTTTATATTTAAAAATACACAAAAATTTTGAATAAAGAATAAAAACTAAAAATTTATATTATAGATGTATTATCAATAGTTATTCTTAAGTAATGAAAATAAGATTTAAATATAATATATACAATTTTCTATTTTTTTTAAAAAGTAATGTAAAAAATAATAAAATAATTAGGAATGGTTCACTTACATACAAAAAATTTCCATTGTTCAACAATATTCACAAAAAATTCCAGAGCTATGAAAGCTACACCTGGCTTAGAGTTTTACATTTTTAATGCTTTATTTTGGCAGATTTTAATATAATTAAATAAAAAAACCATGTTGAAATTCTTGAAAAAAAAATACTTTCAAAAATAATTTTGTAGTTATTTGTCAAAATAACATGGCCACTTTTCTATTACTACTTAGCTTACTATGCAAAATTTTATTGTATATTATTTTTATTATTTTTCTAACTTTTGAAAAATGTCCTAATCACTTTACATGAATAGTATGAATTTTAGTAGATATTAATTATTCAGATTGTTTATAATTAAATTTAAAAATTTAATAAATGATAACCTCATGATTCATACAAATACTTCACATTTAGATATTAATATGTAAAAATACAAAAATTTGCAGTGAATTAGTACATACCTGCCTTCATGATCTGATATATTTACAATATCTGGAGAATTTGAATATTCTAACAGAAGTTTTAAACAATGTTTTTGGCCTTGAGAAGCTGAAAGAAATTTAAATTAAAAATTTTTGATAATCTAAGAAAGCAAACTTTTATCTCAAAAACAAATAATTATAATTAAAAGTTGTAATGAATTTATTCACAATAAAATTATGCAGAAACTTTGAAATTTCTAGTTGTTGTTTTTAAGTTCTTTAAAGTGAAATACATTAATCAAATAATTATTTACTAGAAATGATCAATATTTATTTCTCAAATAAACAATAATATATATATATATATATATATATATATTATTGTTTTAAATAACGAACAATGGAATCTAAAACATTTTATTTAACATTTAACATAAATATATGTATATTAATAAATATAATATAAATAAATATAGCCTATATATATATACAACACATTTTCTATAATAATTTTCAATTTTAAACGTAATTATAGTAGTAATTTGGCCTTAAAACGAAATATTTAATTGGAAATTTCCTTCCTCACCACTTCTCTAGATTTCTTGACCCTCTCTTCCCGACTTCATATCTTATAGCATCCTTCTTCGGCTTCTCGCTTCCATATTTTCCTTCATCTTCCTCCAAGAGGAAAATTAATAATAAGTCCAAACTTCAAACTATTTTATATTTATATTTGAAATGATTTAAATCGATTTTATGAAAGTTTTTCTTTTATAATTATACGAATATTTATTTATCTATTATTTAAAATATAATTTATAATCTCGCTTTTAATAATAGTATTTACACATATTTATTATTATTCTTTGAATATAGTGGTGTTACATGGGAAAATGCACCGTAATAGGAGAAAGATTGGAAACTATCAACGGAGAATGGGGATCTTGGAGTCCGTGGTCCGAATGTTCTCGATCGTGTGGTGCGGGCGTCATGCATTCCGAAAGACACTGCGACAATCCTATGTACGTATTTCTTTCTTAATATTCTAAATAAACAGTCAGAAATCTAATAAAATCTTTATAGATACTTTAACCCGATTACTCCTTATATTATAAAATAATCGATAGCAATAGAAGTAAAATTTATATTATTTTCTNGAATTAGCTGCAGCTACTTCTCTCAGCGACATTTCTTGAGAAGAAATTCTTGGAAAGTAACCTCTCTTTACAAATTACAAACTAATTACAGGCATAAAGCTGCTTGAGGGTAACATTTTTGTTTGCTAATTTATAAAAGTCGGAGGCTTCTATTCCAACAACAACTGCCAACACATTTTGGGCATCTGTACGGCCACGATCGACATCAGGGACTTGTATTCGTATGATATCACCAATTTCAGCAGAAGGAAATGGCGTAAATTTAGCAATATACTGTTGCCTCCCAGTCGACATGGCTTCTCAGGTGTTGTTTTGCTCTCCACGAAAGCTTATCTGTGCTTGTCGACATACACCTGCGATTGTTCAAATGTATAATAATATAACCAAATATTTGGTCTTTCACTGACGTATATTGTATGTGTCAACATTCACCGGAGAATATCAACATTCTCTAATTTTGGTCTTTCACAGTAACATATACATACATACATACTGTACATACATATAATAAAAAGAGATTATTTTTAAATTCATAATGAACTTTTTTTAAATCCTAATTTGTTGTTGAACTTTAATGTTGTTAGTTTATTTTAATGTTGCTGATGTATCCAGCAATGTTTGAGTTTGCAGCATTTAGTTTTAGGGGATGCAAAAGCATAGAGAAGCCCAATTGCCACCAGCCCATGGGACATCACCTCCCCAGATACTGCATTGGAATGCAAGGAATGCAAATGCAATGCAGCTCCAATCAACATAAAATTGAATGCTAAACATCTGACAAGAATTAGGCCAAAGCCAAATGATAGCAAGCTCTCAGCCAAACCAATTATGTTAAACAGAAACGTGCCAGTTGTACTAAGAAAAAAACATTGAGAAGGTTCAAATATTGCATTACTTTCATTAGATGATGATTGTGTACATTGAATACCTGCTTCCATGTAATGATGTAGTGAATTTCATTATTTTAATAAATATTAGCAAAAATTAAAATATTTCTCACAAACAATGAAAAAAAGAAATTGTTAGAGCAATCTATAACAAGACAATTTAAAGTGATATATTTCAAGAGTTAATAATTACACAGTATTTCAAAGAAACATGAAAAGTAGTCAGAAAATAATATTAATAAGACTTTTTAAATACTTTCAAAATATTCACTCATCATTAGGTTTTATGTCTGAAGTGATAAACTAAATGACTGATATTTAGAAGAAGAGAGACTGATTAAATAGTAACAATATCACATTTGATTTTAGCCAGTCACATGCATTATTCAGCACACATGTTCTTAATGATTAGATTGTTTTTATTAATTTAGTATTTCCAAAATGAAAGTAACTGAACATGAAGTTAAACATGTGTGTTTTCAGTGGTGGATTGATCTGTAGGCAGTGACTTTACAGATTTGTTACAGGTTCTTAAGAGAATATTTAATAAACAAAGATAAATTTCCTGAAAAAGTTCAGAGAAAAAAAGACAAAATTTAATGACACCACAATTCCAAACACAAATGTGTTTATAAAGGCCTCAAACAGATATGCTGCCACAAACAAAATTTTTCTTTTATTTGTAGGATAATAAAAAATATTTTATAGCTGATAAATTACATAATTTTCCAATTTAAAATAAAATAATACACAAAAACAAACTTTTATATCACTCTGATATTCATAACTTACTCAAATCTTCAAATTCCCAGCTCAATAAATTTAGAAATAAAATCAATATGAGCAAAATAAAGATAAACAAAGATTTTTTCAAAAGCAATTAATTAATTTTAAGAATAGTTCCTATAAACAATAAAACACAATAAAGATAGAAAAAAAAATGCATAGAAGAAACTAAAACATCTTCACATTTCTATCATGTCCAGTCACCAGAATAAACAGTCTTCCTTTACAGAGATGACCTTTTATTAGAGGTTATGCCTATGTAAAATTATGTAAAACAGTTTAAAAACATCCTCTGGTGATTAAGTCAACAATTAAAAACACACAGTTTCAATTAAAATGGCTGACAGTAATTATTCACATTAAAAATACAGTTAAACTGTTTTACATAATTTTACAGAAACATAACCTATAATAAAAAGTCATTTCTGTAAAAGAAGACTGTTCCTGGTGATTGGACATGATGAAAGTGTGAAGATGTTTTAATTCCTTCTATGTATTTTTAATAAGAATAATTACCATCAGCCATTTTAACCAAAAAGATAGATAGATTGACACCATATATAGATTGATACCATACAAGCTTGAACATAAAAGCATAAAATAATGAGATAAAAACAAGTGACACCACTCACTAAAAATAAACAAAAATAAAAACTAGAGAGGTTGCGGCTGACATTTTAAACGCAAAAACCTGTACGTCAGACGTTCAGCGCCACCTTCCTGTAAGCCTAGAAGTTTGACAATGGCATTTAGAAGGTCAAGCATGATTCTACTGACGTTCCAAACGCCATTGTCAAACTTCTAGCCTTACAGGAAGGCAACGATGAATGTCCAACGTACATGTTTTCACATTAAAAACGTCGGCTGCAACCTCTCTACTATCTATTGGCGTTACTGGTAAACACATTTAATCAATGAGCGCTTTATATAGTATATAACCATCTTCTTCAGGTAATATGGCAAATGGAACATTATAAATCTAGAGATAGAACACATTTTCAAATTTCTTTTCATGCACAAGTGTGAGACAAAAAAATTTTTTTATGTTCCAAGCTCATGAATAAAGTTCCATGCTTATAACGTTCCATCTGCTATTTACTAGTAATGCCAATAGACAGATTTTACATTTTCGTTTATTTTTACAGTACATATAAATTATATCTCAATAAACATAAAAGTATAAGTAACTTTAAAATTTACCAGCAGCATGCAATGGTGTTCTACCAGTAACTTTGTCATGAGTTGATACAGAAGCTCCTTCTTTTAACAAAATTTTAACACATTCAATGTGTCCTTGAAAAGCAGCTAAATCCAAAGCTGTGCGTCCCTTGCAATCTTCTGCATTTACATTATGAATATTATTCAAAAGTAGATTTAAACATGAAGTATGTCCTCCATAGGCCTAAAAACATGAGAAAAAAAATTTTAAAAATTTTAAATCTATTAACTTTTCAATTCTTTTGAATGAAATAAAAATTTAAATTTATATTCAAACTTACTGCTAAATGCAGTGCAGTAAAATACTGAGTAAGTTCACCTTGATGTTCAAGTTTAGTTGCTGATAATAACTTTGAAATAGAAAAAACATTTTTAATTTAATTCATACAAACTTCTAAAACTTATTTTTAAGCTAAAAATAATTTTAAAAAGTAATAGACACATTAAGAAATTTATTTAAAAGAATAAATACATATAATAGCTTGTATGAATAATGTTATTTAATTTACTAATTCAATTTGTTGACAACATAATTTGTTCATGTAAAGATGGACAACTGGAAACCTTTTTTTTGCCAATTCTTAACAGCTAATCTACTCTTCGTCGATTATATTTGAGTTTCTCCAAATTTTGATTTCCAAATAATCATCCATTTTCACGTGGGAATGAATTAAAACTTATACTGAGCTCCCATGTGATTTTGGAATTTCAATCTGGAATTCAATTCAAAAGCTTTGCTTTTCCTATTGCTGTTCATCTTTACTCCTGACAATATACAAGAATTATTGAAATGACCTAGATAAAATACTTATGTGTTTAAATATAAGAGGGTAAGCATCCGGTAAAAAATGTGAATACATGGTTCACAAAAATCATTTGCAAAATGCAAAGAATCTTTTGCTCACACATATAGGATGACCTAGGAATTTGAAGCTGTGATAAATGAATAAAAACCTTGTCTTATATGCGAGTAAATATGGTATATCATTAAGAAATACAGTAAAACTTCTCTAACTCAAACATCTGTTACTCAAATATTTCTTTAACTTGAAGAAAATGAAGCACTTGGTTGATCTCAATGGAATGGCACAGAAATTTAATGTCTCCCACTTGAATTTCTGAACTCGAATTTTCTCCAAGTTGAAGTTTTTCATAGTCCCTCAACACTGATTTATGTTACTTTCAACTTCCCTGACTTCAATTTTAATATTTATTTTATCCAAAGTGATCCTAATTATCAGATTTCCATGAAATTTTCAAACAGTTGTATTTTCTCTCCAATATCAATTTTCAGACAATGTTCCAGTCCAAAGTGAGAGATCATCTCACTTTATCTCAACAAGATGTACTGTTTGATTTCATTAGTTACATTGAACGTTTTGCTGAAAGGTGTTACAAAGGCTGTTTAAAACAAACAAAAAAACTACTATCAACTATCAAAGATTCTTTATATAATGCAAGAGAGATAAAAATACAAATCTATTCATAATCAGCATTTTTTACTCTATCATTCTGTAACTCGAATTGTCTAACTCAAAAATTTTTCTGCCCCTTGGAGCTTCGAGTTAGAGAAGTTTTATTGTACTTTAAAACATAATTAATGAGTTGAATGAATCACTTTCATATCATTTCTCATTAAATTCCTCCTCAATTCTTTTACTCGACGTCCTGATACAAGACTGCTCATTTGGAAAATCTTCATATAAGATAGCTGCTCACTCGAGATTAAAAAGGTTTCTTGTGGATCTAATCATAACTGGTGTCAGAAATGTCTTGATGTTGACATGATTCTCTCATTGTGTCATCATCAGCCACTTTGGGTAAGCCTTCCTTATCACCTCACAAAAGTACAAGTAAATTATGCATTATTTTATTTTAACCAAATACTATTTTTTTCATTTTTTAATTATTTACACCAACTTTATGAATAAATAATTTATATTTTTATTTATTAGGCTTCATCATTTGATAGTGTTCTTGCTATATCACTTATTTATCAATGTTATTGTTAGTGTTTTTTTTATAAAGTTTTGTTTTTTTGTATTTGATCATTATATATGTTTTATGCATCATATCTCTGTCAGTCTATTTGTTTTTGAAATAAAATTTTGCTTTATCAAACTGTTCTTTTCTGCAACTGTTTTCATCATACTGATTAATATATAGATGTGATATAATTGTTTGCTAATTTAATACATAATTTATACATTCATAATATTTTAAGAAAATGATTCAACAAAAGATGAATGAAAAAATAAGAAAAAAACATAAAATGCAATTATTGTATACATAAAATAGCTATCATTTGTAAAAAGTTATTTTTAATGAATTTTTAATGAAATATTAGTATGAAGAGGGAAATAATTATTACAAGTTGATAACTGAAATTAATAATTTATAGATTAATAACAAAAACAATAATTAAACAGGTATAAAACTTACAGTTTCTAAGGCAGTTATTTTTCCATTAGTTGATGCATAATGTATGGCACAATATCCATTTTTATCTTTTAAGCATGCATCTGCTCCAAATCCAAGTAGTGAGCTAACACATCTAAAAATAACATAAAATTCTGTTTATAAGAGTAACAAGCATAGTCCTATAAAAAAAAATTTTAAACTTTCTATAATCAATGATTACATTTATATATGTTAATACACTACCTTGCAAATTAAATGGATTTTGTAAATAAATGTGCACAACTGCTGTTTATTTTAAAATTAATTGCTCATTTGGCACAGAAATTATACAGAAATAAGACACACACANCCATCTTTTAATTAGTAGTTTGGGTTCATGTTAAAATACTGTCAATGTTGGATAAAAATATTTACAATATTATAACAGATCAAAACTAAAAAACAGAATAACGGATCTAGTATGAAACTATTTAAAAAAAGCATTCTGAACCAAACACTCAAATAGTAGTAACATGTTATGTTGCTAAAAATTAGGTTTTCCCTTCTGGTAGTTTCAAGTACAATTGAAATAATATTTAAATGTCAACTCTAGCATCTGAATGTAAGAGTGCATCATTAAGAAAATATTTTAAACTTTATCTGAATACATAATTGAAATTATTTATAAATTGTAAAATTTATATATTTATTTATTAAATTTTCAATTTTTAGAATTTACTACTTTTACTAAAGATATATCTATCTCATTTCTTCTCCTTAAAACATTACTTTAAATAATCTATTATAGAAATTTTAATATGTCATTAGTTTTATTAATTTATAAAAAGTTTATTAAATAAATTTTAGTTAAACTATACTCACAGCTCGGAAAAGAGCTGATCGCTTATTCGAATCGACTGCCGTTACAGAAGCACCATGTTGTAATAACAATGAAACACACCCCAGCTGATTATGCAATAAAGCTTGCATTAGAGGAGTTCTATATAAATATTAATAAAATTAAACAATTAAATAACTATTCTAATAAAACACATTGATGATAAAACATTAAAAAATATAAAGGCAAAAAAAATACTGACAATAGAAATAACAATAGCAACATTCATAGTATTTTATTATGCTGTTAATATTTAAATTAATAGTGATAACCAGCAATTTAAAATTATAAAAGCATTTTATTAAAAAATTGTTTTAAGTATTATTTTTTCAAAAAAATATAATTTCTAAATTAAAAACATGATCTTAAAACAGAATCCAGTTTCACAATAAAACTAAAAAGTCATCTTTCATTTTAAAATTTTTGTCATTTCATCATCCCTATTCACTGGATAAAATTTCAATTGTTCTATATCATATTTTATTCTTTCATGCTTAAATTTAATTAATAAAAAATTTTATACTACTAATACAGTATACTCTTTCAGTCTTTGTATATGATTAATTTATAATTAAACAGAATTATTTTTGTAAAATTTACATTTTTCTATTATATCATTGGATAAAGGTAAAGTTAAAGAGATTTAACTCAAAATTTTAAGTTCATCAAATTATGTGCAAAGTCTCCTATTTTAACTGACTAACTTGTAATAGATTTGTATGTTACAGATTTCTATAAGTTTTTTATTTCATGAACACTAGAATGATTAAGCCCAAACCAAGTTTTTCAAACCTGTCAACATTAGGATAAAGAAATCATATGATAATAATAAAAAGTAAGAAAAGTAATAATTTCAGACTTTACTTAAAAGAAAGCCTATGTATTATTATTATTTTATATTTAAAAATACACAAAAATTTTGAATAAAGAATAAAAACTAAAAATTTATATTATAGATGTATTATCAATAGTTATTCTTAAGTAATGAAAATAAGATTTAAATATAATATATACAATTTTCTATTTTTTTTAAAAAGTAATGTAAAAAATAATAAAATAATTAGGAATGGTTCACTTACATACAAAAAATTTCCATTGTTCAACAATATTCACAAAAAATTCCAGAGCTATGAAAGCTACACCTGGCTTAGAGTTTTACATTTTTAATGCTTTATTTTGGCAGATTTTAATATAATTAAATAAAAAAACCATGTTGAAATTCTTGAAAAAAAAATACTTTCAAAAATAATTTTGTAGTTATTTGTCAAAATAACATGGCCACTTTTCTATTACTACTTAGCTTACTATGCAAAATTTTATTGTATATTATTTTTATTATTTTTCTAACTTTTGAAAAATGTCCTAATCACTTTACATGAATAGTATGAATTTTAGTAGATATTAATTATTCAGATTGTTTATAATTAAATTTAAAAATTTAATAAATGATAACCTCATGATTCATACAAATACTTCACATTTAGATATTAATATGTAAAAATACAAAAATTTGCAGTGAATTAGTACATACCTGCCTTCATGATCTGATATATTTACAATATCTGGAGAATTTGAATATTCTAACAGAAGTTTTAAACAATGTTTTTGGCCTTGAGAAGCTGAAAGAAATTTAAATTAAAAATTTTTGATAATCTAAGAAAGCAAACTTTTATCTCAAAAACAAATAATTATAATTAAAAGTTGTAATGAATTTATTCACAATAAAATTATGCAGAAACTTTGAAATTTCTAGTTGTTGTTTTTAAGTTCTTTAAAGTGAAATACATTAATCAAATAATTATTTACTAGAAATGATCAATATTTATTTCTCAAATAAACAATAATATATATATATATATATATATATATATTATTGTTTTAAAANCTTTGCTTTTCCTATTGCTGTTCATCTTTACTCCTGACAATATACAAGAATTATTGAAATGACCTAGATAAAATACTTATGTGTTTAAATATAAGAGGGTAAGCATCCGGTAAAAAATGTGAATACATGGTTCACAAAAATCATTTGCAAAATGCAAAGAATCTTTTGCTCACACATATAGGATGACCTAGGAATTTGAAGCTGTGATAAATGAATAAAAACCTTGTCTTATATGCGAGTAAATATGGTATATCATTAAGAAATACAGTAAAACTTCTCTAACTCAAACATCTGTTACTCAAATATTTCTTTAACTTGAAGAAAATGAAGCACTTGGTTGATCTCAATGGAATGGCACAGAAATTTAATGTCTCCCACTTGAATTTCTGAACTCGAATTTTCTCCAAGTTGAAGTTTTTCATAGTCCCTCAACACTGATTTATGTTACTTTCAACTTCCCTGACTTCAATTTTAATATTTATTTTATCCAAAGTGATCCTAATTATCAGATTTCCATGAAATTTTCAAACAGTTGTATTTTCTCTCCAATATCAATTTTCAGACAATGTTCCAGTCCAAAGTGAGAGATCATCTCACTTTATCTCAACAAGATGTACTGTTTGATTTCATTAGTTACATTGAACGTTTTGCTGAAAGGTGTTACAAAGGCTGTTTAAAACAAACAAAAAAACTACTATCAAAGATTCTTTATATAATGCAAGAGAGATAAAAATACAAATCTATTCATAATCAGCATTTTTTACTCTATCATTCTGTAACTCGAATTGTCTAACTCAAAAATTTTTCTGCCCCTTGGAGCTTCGAGTTAGAGAAGTTTTATTGTACTTTAAAACATAATTAATGAGTTGAATGAATCACTTTCATATCATTTCTCATTAAATTCCTCCTCAATTCTTTTACTCGACGTCCTGATACAAGACTGCTCATTTGGAAAATCTTCATATAAGATAGCTGCTCACTCGAGATTAAAAAGGTTTCTTGTGGATCTAATCATAACTGGTGTCAGAAATGTCTTGATGTTGACATGATTCTCTCATTGTGTCATCATCAGCCACTTTGGGTAAGCCTTCCTTATCACCTCACAAAAGTACAAGTAAATTATGCATTATTTTATTTTAACCAAATACTATTTTTTTCATTTTTTAATTATTTACACCAACTTTATGAATAAATAATTTATATTTTTATTTATTAGGCTTCATCATTTGATAGTGTTCTTGCTATATCACTTATTTATCAATGTTATTGTTAGTGTTTTTTTTATAAAGTTTTGTTTTTTTGTATTTGATCATTATATATGTTTTATGCATCATATCTCTGTCAGTCTATTTGTTTTTGAAATAAAATTTTGCTTTATCAAACTGTTCTTTTCTGCAACTGTTTTCATCATACTGATTAATATATAGATGTGATATAATTGTTTGCTAATTTAATACATAATTTATACATTCATAATATTTTAAGAAAATGATTCAACAAAAGATGAATGAAAAAATAAGAAAAAAACATAAAATGCAATTATTGTATACATAAAATAGCTATCATTTGTAAAAAGTTATTTTTAATGAATTTTTAATGAAATATTAGTATGAAGAGGGAAATAATTATTACAAGTTGATAACTGAAATTAATAATTTATAGATTAATAACAAAAACAATAATTAAACAGGTATAAAACTTACAGTTTCTAAGGCAGTTATTTTTCCATTAGTTGATGCATAATGTATGGCACAATATCCATTTTTATCTTTTAAGCATGCATCTGCTCCAAATCCAAGTAGTGAGCTAACACATCTAAAAATAACATAAAATTCTGTTTATAAGAGTAACAAGCATAGTCCTATAAAAAAAAATTTTAAACTTTCTATAATCAATGATTACATTTATATATGTTAATACACTACCTTGCAAATTAAATGGATTTTGTAAATAAATGTGCACAACTGCTGTTTATTTTAAAATTAATTGCTCATTTGGCACAGAAATTATACAGAAATAAGACACACACACATAAATGAAAAAAAGTTCTGCTTCAATTATGATATTCTCTCTATTAAATTCAAGTTTGGTGAAGGAGTGAGCCACTCCATATGGGTGATTGAATTCTCTTCCAGGTACCAGATGACCAACCAGTCTGGCTCTATGATGTCAAGAGTTATTGTGCTGTAAAATAAAACTTTTACCTACTGCATAGATATATTGGTCTAACAGTATGTCTGAGAATCTTGTCTCTGTACGACTAAGCTGTCATAGAACCTGCTTGAACCACATAGAGGTCAGTATAACTGATCACATTATAACACTGACTTCTCTGCCCAAGAGTCAATCCCAATCATGTTTGAAAGATGACACCTGGTACCAGGTTTTCTTCAAATCAGTACAACTGTTGTCATTTCTCAGAGCAAATCTGGACTTGTTTGTAAAGAGTACAGTGCACTACTGATCTTCAGTTCAATTAAGTTGTTCTCTTGTCCAGTTTAATCACTCTTTCCTGTGTTGAGAAATGAGGGGTTTGCAACGTATAGGTTGGCAAGCTGAGAGGACTTTTCACAAAGACTTCTGCATATGGTAGGACCACAGTGGAGAGAGTGTTATCTGGCATTGTTGTAAAGTGGTTAATAGTAAAGTCTTCATTTGCTGTTGTAATCCAGAGTAACTTTGGCAATATGGTCTCTAGGAAGTGATGCCAAAGCCTATGAACTACTGATGCTATAACATTGAGCCAGTTTTCAACCTGTGCTTCTGACTGTTCTGCTTCAAGTCTGTTGATTGCTCTCCATCTTAAACAGTTAGGTAAATGTCAACGTTTCATTTGAACCTCTTAAGTTACTTCAAAAATGTGTAAAAATCTTCTAAAATGCACAGTATAAGCATCAGAAATTGATTATCCATTACAGCCCAATAAGATATATCTAATCATCATGAAATAATTAACTGCACATGTGTAAAAAAAAGCATACAAAATTTGCATTTAAAAATGATCATTATTATTAATTCACCAAAACCAAAAGAGTACACAAAAATAAGCACTAACCCTAATCTTCACATGATAATTCTTGGCTTCAAATCATTTCCAGCTCTACCAAGGCCATTCTCAGCATACAATTCTCTCTAAGACACAATTAAGGCATCTTAGTTTCTTGTGTTCAAATTGTGCCTTGAATAGAATCATACACTGAAGATAACTTCAAAGTTTTGAAGTTAAGAAATATTGTCTGAAGATTAGGGTTAGTGCTTAGTAATGATAGATACTATAGTCTGGAAACAATCAATTTATTAGAAATTCAGGAAAATTAAGAAGTTCCTTTTAATTTGCAAGGCTCTAATTCCCTTACTGATTATAATATTGAACAATTATAAATATTATTTTTATCCTTTATTTTAATGGATTTATTAAAATAGAAAATAAAAATAATATTTGTAATTCCTCAATATTATCATCAATAACATTTATTTTATTCTATTAAATACTAATGATAATTTCTTGTTCTCTAGTCGAGAAAATATATACATGTCTAATCAATCAAGCTTCAAATTTTAAATACCATAAAAATAATAAATCTTTTATTTTGTTAAACCAAAAACTAAATTTGGCATAAATGGATTTTTTTGAATAAAATAATTAGATCATCTAATTAAATGAATGATTTGTTAATTTCATTGTTATTTGCATATTTTCATTTAGTATTTATATTTTTATTTATTAGGCTTCATCATTTGATAGTGTTCTTGCTATATCACTTATTTATCAATGTTATTGTTAGTGTTTTTTTTTATAAAGTTTTGTTTTTTTGTATTTGATCATTATATATGTTTTATGCATCATATCTCTGTCAGTCTATTTGTTTTTGAAATAAAATTTTGCTTTATCAAACTGTTCTTTTCTGCAACTGTTTTCATCATACTGATTAATATATAGATGTGATATAATTGTTTGCTAATTTAATACAAAATTTATACATTCATAATATTTTAAGAAAATGATTCAACAAAAGATGAATGAAAAAATAAGAAAAAAACATAAAATGCAATTATTGTATACATAAAATAGCTATCATTTGTAAAAAGTTATTTTTAATGAATTTTTAATGAAATATTAGTATGAAGAGGGAAATAATTATTACAAGTTGATAACTGAAATTAATAATTTATAGATTAATAACAAAAACAATAATTAAACAGGTATAAAACTTACAGTTTCTAAGGCAGTTATTTTTCCATTAGTTGATGCATAATGTATGGCACAATATCCATTTTTATCTTTTAAGCATGCATCTGCTCCAAATCCAAGTAGTGAGCTAACACATCTAAAAATAACATAAAATTCTGTTTATAAGAGTAACAAGCATAGTCCTATAAAAAAAAATTTTAAACTTTCTATAATCAATGATTACATTTATATATGTTAATACACTACCTTGCAAATTAAATGGATTTTGTAAATAAATGTGCACAACTGCTGTTTATTTTAAAATTAATTGCTCATTTGGCACAGAAATTATACAGAAATAAGACACACACACATAAATGAAAAAAAGTTCTGCTTCAATTATGATATTCTCTCTATTAAATTCAAGTTTGGTGAAGGAGTGAGCCACTCCATATGGGTGATTGAATTCTCTTCCAGGTACCAGATGACCAACCAGTCTGGCTCTATGATGTCAAGAGTTATTGTGCTGTAAAATAAAACTTTTACCTACTGCATAGATATATTGGTCTAACAGTATGTCTGAGAATCTTGTCTCTGTACGACTAAGCTGTCATAGAACCTGCTTGAACCACATAGAGGTCAGTATAACTGATCACATTATAACACTGACTTCTCTGCCCAAGAGTCAATCCCAATCATGTTTGAAAGATGACACCTGGTACCAGGTTTTCTTCAAATCAGTACAACTGTTGTCATTTCTCAGAGCAAATCTGGGCTTGTTTGTAAAGAGTACAGTGCACTACTGATCTTCAGTTCAGTTAAGTTGTTCTCTTGTCCAGTTTAATCACTCTTTCCTGTGTTGAGAAATGAGGGGTTTGCAACGTATAGGTTGGCAAGCTGAGAGGACTTTTCACAAAGACTTCTGCATATGGTAGGACCACAGTGGAGAGAGTGTTATCTGGCATTGTTGTAAAGTGGTTAATAGTAAAGTCTTCATTTGCTGTTGTAATCCAGAGTAACTTTGGCAATATGGTCTCTAGGAAGTGATGCCAAAGCCTATGAACTACTGATGCTATAACATTGAGCCAGTTTTCAACCTGTGCTTCTGACTGTTCTGCTTCAAGTCTGTTGATTGCTCTCCATCTTAAACAGTTAGGTAAATGTCAACGTTTCATTTGAACCTCTTAAGTTACTTCAAAAATGTGTAAAAATCTTCTAAAATGCACAGTATAAGCATCAGAAATTGATTATCCATTACAGCCCAATAAGATATATCTAATCATCATGAAATAATTAACTGCACATGTGTAAAAAAAGCATACAAAATTTGCATTTAAAAATGATCATTATTATTAATTCACCAAAACCAAAAGAGTACACAAAAATAAGCACTAACCCTAATCTTCACATGATAATTCTTGGCTTCAAATCATTTCCAGCTCTACCAAGGCCATTCTCAGCATACAATTCTCTCTAAGACACAATTAAGGCATCTTAGTTTCTTGTGTTCAAATTGTGCCTTGAATAGAATCATACACTGAAGATAACTTCAAAGTTTTGAAGTTAAGAAATATTGTCTGAAGATTAGGGTTAGTGCTTAGTAATGATAGATACTATAGTCTGGAAACAATCAATTTATTAGAAATTCAGGAAAATTAAGAAGTTCCTTTTAATTTGCAAGGCTCTAATTCCCTTACTGATTATAATATTGAACAATTATAAATATTATTTTTATCCTTTATTTTAATGGATTTATTAAAATAGAAAATAAAAATAATATTTATAATTCCTCAATATTATCATCAATAACATTTATTTTATTCTATTAAATACTAATGATAATTTCTTGTTCTCTAGTCGAGAAAATATATACATGTCTAATCAATCAAGCTTCAAATTTTAAATACCATAAAAATAATAAATCTTTTATTTTGTTAAACCAAAAACTAAATTTGGCATAAATGGATTTTTTTGAATAAAATAATTAGATCATCTAATTAAATGAATGATTTGTTAATTTCATTGTTATTTGCATATTTTCATTTAGTTTACAGCCTGGAAGTACTCAGCAAAGATAAATTGAAAACTTACTACAACACCTGTGCATTTGCTGAGAGAATTTTTTATTAACAAATGTTTTCAGTCTTACTCCCATAGGCCATCATCAGGTTTGTAAGTCCATTTTTAGAAAATGTTTTACAAATAGAACATTCCATTTAAATTTTAACTTTTGAAGTATTCTAAATACAAATTTAAACAAATTAAATAAATAAATTATGAAAAATATAAGGTTANCAACAATGAAATAGATTAAAAATAAAAATAAACTTAAGAATAATATAAAATAAAAACTATGAGAGTATAACACAAAGGCCAAATATGATTATAGGCAGACAATATTCAAAGGCTTTTATGTCCTGATCTTTTTTCAATGATGCATTTCCAACCTAAAGGTAGAGTTTACATCCCTTGTGTTTAAAAGCTACTCTTTGATCTTTCTCTTGTATATGTCTATTTTTTCCATATTCATAGCAATGTTTAGAAAATGTACCTTTTTAATAATGTTTGTTTCATCACATTTTAATGACAACACCAGCTGAAACCTCTAAGTTATATAGAAAACTAGCTTTGAAGATTGTAGGGTCTAATGGGAAGTTGGATTTTCTTAAAGAATGTATACATAAAGGGTTTTTCCAATGTCTGTATATAGAATTAGTCTTTCAAAGGAGTGTTCTTCATTAAAAAGAATTTGAAAAGAGTGCGTACATAAAGTGTGCCAATTAGGGTTATAAAAAACAGGAAATACGGAACTTATTAAGCTAGAAGACAAAATATACCAAAAAGATCCTGAAAGGTTGAAAGAAATGAACAGGAGGGTTATAAAACTAACTGACCAAACATATCACAGTCTAAAAAGAAAATATTTGAAAAAAATGAAATGAATCTTGAAGAAACAGGTTCCAATAGAAAAATAAAGCAATACCATTTACTTTTTGAAACCAAATTGATGTACCAAAAGAGATAAAAAGAGTGATAAAAAAGGCCCCAACTATGTTACTGATGACACAGGTCTATGTGGCAAACATCAATGGCAGAAACAGAAAGGGACTTTCACCTCTTAATGAAGTTGAAAAACATTACTTTAGATGGAAAATGGTGCTCAATGAAGAAAGATACAATAAATCTAAATAAAAAGGAAAAATAAACATAGGATATGCGAAAGAATGGCTAATGGAAAATGATTTAATATTAATAATAGCAGATAAGACTAAACAGCTGGTAATTACGAAAAGACAATTCTATAACAAAGCTATGGAAGATTATATTATAAAAACGGAATGCAAAATGGTCGATGAATAATTTGTAGCAATAACAAACAGAAAGGTTAAAAAACTAGAAAAACACCACTCACGTCTGTCTTAAATTTCCTAAAAAAAAAAAAAAAAATTGCATAACCCCAGCCCCTAAATGCCAAGAATCTTTGCCTTTGCAAAAACTCACAAGGTAACTAAAGAAATCAGACTGGTAGTAGAGAAATGCAAAAGTACCACCAGTATTTGTGGAACAAAATCCAAGCAAGGTTGTGAGAGAATTGGAAAGCTTGAATTTAATGGACAAGGAAAAAGGAACAGTAATGTACTTTGAAAGTTTGTATCCTTCTATTAAATTGGAATCTTTGCTTTAATGCAGTTATTGAGTTCATGATTTAACATAAACCAGAGTTATCTGCTTAATGAAATGAATGAGTTAGCCACATTAGTTTGCTATCAATCATTTTTTAAATTCAACAACAAGTCCTATACAACAAAAGAAAGGAGTGCCACGGGGAAGTTCTATTACAGGTCTTTTATCCGAACTTGTACTATGTAAGCTCGAGAAAGGTATCCTCAGATATTTCACAGACAACATCTTACTCTATAAAAGATATGTGGATGATGTATTCATAATTTGGAGAAATAAATGGAGGGTTCAGGAGCTTTTGAGTGTGGTTAACAACAATAGACATGCTTTGAACCTAAAACTAGAACAACAGAGGACTAATTGTCTGCACTTCCTAAACACTGACTACCAGTTTAAGAATGGTGGTACAGTAGAGCGTCATTTATCCGAAACGTCGGTTATATGAAAGAATTCCAGTTGGCAAATATAAATTTTTGCTAGTGCTGTGGTGCTGCAATCTTTGGCTATATCTTGGGCTACTCCAATATTTTTTATGTTTGTGTATGTATTTTAGCTGGCAGCACTGTCACTTTTGTATGGTATTTTTCTGAGGACTGTGTGTCATGCTGAATTGAATGTTTTTGATACTAGATAACTTCTAAAGTATAAATTTTTTTTTGTTTTTATATTTTTCAATATATTTATTTTGTTTGTAAAAAATAAAGAAATAATTTTTAATGACACAATAGTCACAATTATTATTTTAAAAAGTTTACATTAGGCTTAACATCGACAAAAATTCAATGCGAAGCGACACGCAATAGAGAAAAACTTCAACACGGGATAGGTTAATGTATTTTTTTGTACATAATCGGTTATCCGAACAACCCCAGTCCCTAATTGATTTGGATAAACGATGCTCTACTGTATTTATACTGGTGTGTTTATCAAATCAACTTATGCTTCTCTGTACATCTCATCATGGTCTAATCACCCTTACAAGTATAAACTTTCTGCATTCAGAGCACTGCTTAAAAGAGCATTTTGTATTGTTTCAATATACAGGACTGCTTAAAAGAAACTACCGTATTAGCCCGAATATAACGCGATATTTTTCGACCATTTATTTTCCGTTAAAAAATCGACTCGCGCTAAATTTGGGGTTTAAGTAATCGAATGTAAGATAAACAAGGACATTTTCCTACAGAGGTTGCCTGTGTTATTAGCTATACAGTAGAGCGTCGTTTATTCGAAAGCTGGTTATCCGAAAGCATTCCAGTCGGCAAATTTAAATTTTCGCTAGTGCTGTGACGCTGCAATCTTCGGCTATTTCTCGGGTTACTCAANCATAAATAAATGCTTATCTGATTGAATTTTACTTTCTTTGAATTCTTTTATGAGTATTATTTTTTTCCTAAATATCTTTATGAAAATTTTGGAGTCGCGTTAAATTCGGGGTCGCGTTATATTCGGGCTAATATGGTAATAGAATTAAAG